CACCCTGAATTTCATAACCTGAGACTTCCAATTCACATGCACTCCACCCAATGTTTCTAACCATTGCATGCCCAAAATAACATCCACTCCCCCCAATTCCAGTGGCAAAAAATTTTCCACTATGGTCAAATGTGCTAAATTCAATGCTACCTCCCTACAAATTCCTCTTCCTTTAACCGATTCTCCCGTTCCTAGTTGTACCCCAAACCCCGCAGTGGGCGCAATCGGAATCAACAACCTCTCCACAAGACTCAAGGAAATGAAATTATGGGTTGCACCGGAATCAAGTAGAACAATTACCTCTTGCCGAGCAATTGTGCCTCGAAGCTTCATAGTCGTTGGCGTCGAGAGTCCTACCACTGAATTCAAGGACAACTCTATGAGTTCCGGCTGCCCCTCCTCCCATTCCGAACTTGGCAAAACTGGATCGTCCTCTTCGCACTCGGCTGCGTCCTCAACGCTAACGAGCATTATCCGAAGCTCCTTCTTCTTACAACGATGACCAAAGGTGAACTTCTCATCGCACCTAAAACACAACCCCTTATCTCTCTTCTCCTGCAACTCAGAATCCGACAACTTACGAAAAGGAAAATCCCGTCTTTGAGTTGTTGTTTTCTCTATCGCAGCAGGGCCTCGCTATGGTCGTTCCACCACCAGCACCGTCCTAACAATAGTTGGTGAAAACTCAGCCCTCTGAGCACTATGGAATTGTGGTCGGGAAAACCTTGTTTCCGCCCCTTCACGACGCAGCAAATCATTTTTTTCTTCAATTCTCTGAGCAATCTCCATGATTTCCCCTAACCCCACCGGTTTTAAGAGCCTCACTTCAGCCCGAATCTGTGCCTTAAGCCCATTTACGGAGATTCCTTCCAAGACCTCCTCCGGCACATCCCGTAGTGGGGCTGCTGAAACTTCAAATTGCCTGCGATATTCGGCCACCGTTCTTACTTGCCGTATCGCCAAAAACCTCTCGCAAAGATTGCCCTCCTGCGAAGAACGAAAACGTTGCGGCAACGCTACCCTAAACTCCGACCAGCTATGGAAAGGTCTGCAGCCATTTTGCCATTGGAACCAAGACAGGGCATCTCCCTCCAAGGATATTCCCGAGGTAATGAGTTTTTCCCTTTCCGAGCAACGATTGATGGAGAAAAACTGCTCCATACGGAATAACCAGCCATCGGGATCATCTCCGCCAAAGATGGGACACAACACCTGTCGCCGACGAAGGGCCCCCCAATCCTCATTTACCGGCAACTCCTCCAAGACACCTCTGCCCTCCCAACCTTCTCTATACCATTCTCCAACGTTAGGGTTCCTTCCCCTTTCCACTCCTCGGTGAACAGGGCCGCCTGTCCCATTCCGCCGTTCATCGAACTCCATGGACTCCCCTTCCATGAAAAATCAACGCCCCTCACCACGATGTCCGTTCCAATTCTTCCCTTGGGTACCCAAAGGAGCCCCCCTAGCAAACCCGCACCAATCTTCCCTTCCGTCGCGACTAGGATTCCGTGGAATCCTTAAATCCGCTGCCCGATCTACGCCTTGCTCACGCCAACTAGAGTCTCCCACTGGACACATCACATTCTGCGAAACCCTAGGGTTAACCGACCTTTCCTCTCCGACGCGTATTTCCAAGCGATCGCCGGCACGATTCGCCTCACGAACTTCCCCAGCGCGAATCACTACGCGATCTCTGTCGCGATTCGCCTCGCGGTCTTCTCCGGCGCGATTCGGCCCGCGATTCACCTCGCGGCCTTCTCCGGCGCGATTCACTCCGAGATCCACCTCGGTCGTAGTCGTTTGAGCGACCGTCTTCTCCGGCGCCGACGTTGATGCCGACAGAAGTTTCACCTGTTCCTCCATAAGCCGGCGAATCTCGGACAGATCCGACCTATTCTGTGATAATTCCACCCTAACCTCTTCGAGCCCTTTCTCCATATCGCCAATTCCCTTTTCCATGGAAATCCTAACTTCCTTGATCTCTTTTTCCACCAATTCGAACCTTTCATCAGTTTTCCTAGCCGCCATTTTAGCCAGAATCAATGCTCTGATACCAAAATGATAAGAGCAGAGTATTGTTCCCACATAAACGAATTAAGAAGAATGAAAATGTAATCTTTATTGATTAACCCAATGAATTACAGACTAGTCTATCGATACTCTCTCACACCTTTGCTCAGCCTTAGCCAAGACTTCCCAAACAGACTCCAATAATTTCCTAGCTCTCTAATCCCACCTCTGGCCTATTTATTCCCTACTCTTCCTTCCTCACGACAACCCCCCTGTATCCCCCCGCAATGTACAATCCTCAGCTAACTAACTACTAACGACACTCCTAACTCCACGTCACTCCCTCTTCCCTTTCCTAACATAAACCTGTCTAAGCAACGGTTTATCAGCCTTATCAGTAAAAAAAGGTTTGGTATTCAAGGTTGACTTTGAAAAGGCTTATGACCTTGTTAATTGGAGTTTTTCACATCAGGTGTTGAAGAGACAAGGTTTCAGGTCGAGATGGATTAGTTGGATAAAGGGCTGTCTTTGTTTGGCTAATTTCTCGATTTTGATTAATGGTAGACCGAGGGGCAGATTTGGATTCTAGAGGGCTTAGACAAGGGAATCCACTTTCTCCTTTTCTCTTTACCTTGGTTGTTGATGGTTTAAGCAGACTAATCGAAAAGGCTGGGGGCATTGGATGTTGCAAAGGGCTTTAGAGTTGGAAGAGATCAGATACATTTATCGCGTTTACAATTTGCCGATGATACTTTATTTTTTTCTTGAACCGTCGGGAGAAAATCTTAGGGATACAGTTGATATTCTTACTTCTCTCTCTCAAAGTTCAGGTCTGAAAATAAACTTGAGCAAAAGCATGTTAAATGGAATAAATATAGATAAGGAGTAGATTAGAGTCTTAGCTCAAGAAGTGGGTTCTGAGGTGGGCTGCTGGCCAATGAAATATCTTGGACTACCATTAGGAAGATTTCCCTTGGCTAGAGATTTTTGGAATCTGGTGGTGGCAAAAGTTTCCAAGAGTGGAAGAAAGGATGTTTATCATGAGGAGCTAGATTAACTTTGATTCAATCAGTGTTGTCAAGTCTGCCAATCTACTTTTTATCTCTTTTCAAGTTGCCGGTGGCGGTAGCAACGGAAGTAGAAAATTTGAAGCATTGGTTTTTGTGGTACGGTCTAGAAAAAGGAAAGATTGACAATTTGGTGGCCTGGAAGGTGGTCTCGCAGTAAAGCGGAAGGGGAGTTGAGCATTGGAAATTTGCTAAAAAAGAATCAGGCATTGTTGGGAAAGTGGCTATGGAGATTTAGACCTTGTTTGTTTCACTCGTTCAAGTTGAGAACTTGAGTTAGAAAGTAAATTCATGTGAGAAATATACTGTACCAGAAAAAGTTGAATTTGAATTTTTGTGAGAGAAAATACTGTAGCAAAAACTTGAGTTGTAATTCGAACTAGTTAAATGAATGAAACCTCAATTTGGAACAAGACAGTCTTGGGGCCATGGTAATTAGGAGTAAATTTGGTTTGCAAGCCAATAGCTGGGATTCTAACATCGTTAGTAGAAGCACTCGTAGGAATCCTTGGAAATATGTTTCTCAAGGTTTGAATTCTTTCCTCGAGAGAGTGAATGGGAAGTGGAGGATGGAAGTCAAATTAGATTTTGGGAAGATGGGTGGTGTGGTGATTTGCCTTTTACATTTACCTTTTGGGACTTTATAGTCTCATCGGTAAGAGAGAAAAATAGAAGATGTAGTAGTTTGTATCGATGATTTAAATGTCAACTGGAACTTTGGTTTTCGGAGGAATCTTAATGATAGAGAGTGATCAGCGTACAAATTTCATTCAGCTCTTGGGGTCTTTTACCCCTAGTCCTCACAGGGTAGACATTCAAGTTTGGGCGGCAGATGCAAAAGGATTTTCCTGCAACTCTTGTTTCAAAGTGTTGATCTCAAATCCAAATATCTCTTTTGACCCTTTCAAAACAATTTGGAAAATCTTACAATCCTATTGGAATCAAGGGCTTTACCTGGTTATTTTATCACAGAAAACTCTGCACTTGTGACTTAGTGCAGAGGAAAAATCCCCATTGTGCTTTGTCTCCCAATTGGTGTGCCATGTGCAAAGAAAATTCAGAAACAAAGGATCATCTATTCATGCACTGCGAGATGGCTTGGAGTCTTTGGGGAAAAGTTTTTGGAGCAGCTAAACTGAAGTGGTGCTTTCCAGCAAAAAGCTGCGTTATACTGGTGGAGGATTTTTGGGGTTTCGGAAGAGGGAAGAAGGCTCAAACCATTTGGAGAGCAATGCATTTAACCGTTCTTGGTTAATTTGGAATGGGAGAAATTATTGATTTTTTTAGGAGGAGATGGCTGTTGAAGACTTATTTGAGATGGCAAAATTCCTTGCTTCTCTGTGGGCTGCAACAAATGTTTCCCTTAAGGACTTTACATTGTCTCTGATAATATTAGGGTGGGAGGACATTCTGAGTTGAGAGGGGCGGTGTTGTTGTTATGTAATCTTGTTTTTTAATTTTTTTTCTTCTGGTTTTCTTTTTGCCTTTGGATGGATCTCTCATCCATCTTTATTCTTTCTGTGCTCTTTGTTCTGTGTTTGTTTTTTTAATAAAATTGTCGTTTGTTTCTTGTCAAAAAAACAAAGGGATATATAATCCTTGACTACGTAGTACCTTATTAAGAGTATATAAGAAAGTTGAAAAGTTGGTTTCATTCCCTTTAACATGGAATCAATACCAAGTGGGGTGCAAGGATTAATATTACCTTTTTAATCACTCCTCACTTTCTCTTTCCATATTGATGCAAAGTAAACACGACCTAAATGTTTTGTTAGTAAACAACAAGAACAAATATTGCTATTATTTTTTATGTGTTCAATGTGGTACTTCTCATAGAAAGCCACCACAAAACAGTTTAAATGTTTTGCATTGATATTTGATATTGGTTTTACTGAGCTATTAGTGTATGATGAATTTGAGCAGGATTGGCTTCACCGAGTGAGAATTACAGGGCTTTTCATGCAGAGAGGTGTCCATGGTGGCTGGTGATTAAGGCTATCGGAGCGCCGGGACATGGGGCGAAGCTTTATGATAATACTGCCATGGAGAATCTGCTGAAGAGCATTGAGAGTGTCAGGAAGTTTCGTGCTTCGCAGTTCGATTTGGTGAAGGCGGGTTTGAAGGCTGAAGGCGAGGTTGTCTCGGTTAACATGGCGTTTCTCAAAGCTGGCACCCCATCTCCAACTGTAAGTGATGCATTGTAAAGCTTGTTGGTTGTTGATTTGGTATAGGATTTCTTGCCTTGATAGAATCTAGCTATTGTGTGAAATTGTGAACAGATAAGGACTATTAAATTAAAAATAATGCGTTTTCCTTATCGTTTAGTTGTTGACAACTTGAATCTATCGAGAGAAGGCCTAGAAAGATATCCTTTTGCTGATCCAAAATGAAAGTAAAAAGGGATTTCTTGTATGGCGTGTTCACGAATTCCCAGTGAAAAGTAATTGGAATTAGATTGAGGATTTAATTGGGAACTGAAGGAACGACTTGCATGTAAGGATTTCATTATTATGTTTACTAATGTTGTTAGGAATTGGAATTAGAGTCAATTTGATTATGAAGATGCCCTTATAGTGACATTTTTTTTTTCTTGCTGTTGAAGTCAACTATTTGTTAATGGTAGGATGGTAACTCAAATAAGATATCGAGAATTCCAATTTATAATTCTGGAATTCATATCACATTCTTCGAATTGAGCTTCACCTTGAAACAAGAACTTAATTCTTGAATTCATAATGGGCACAATATAATGTTCTTGGTGCGTAAGTAGACACAAGAATGTGAAATTTTGCAGATACTATTTGTTTCTCACTGATAGTCAACCTCACTGATGGTCAACGAAACATTTTTGCTCAGATTGGTTCTTGGACCTAGCAGTGGATCAGCATTTATCATGGTTTTTGAAAATTAAATTGTTCGCAGTTAAAATAATTAAAAAGAATGTGTATCAGTATCAGTTGGTGTCTGTCTTGAAACACGCGCTTGTGAAGTTGAGCTGGTTTAAGCTTATGACGTTATTTCTATTATTTCTAAGCTTACGACCTCCTTGGTTGCGCCAGTAAGTGTTTTTCCTTCTTGTTAATCAGGGTTTTGTTATGAACTTGCAACCATCTGAGGCAGAAGCAGGCTTCGATATTAGGATCCCTCCAACTGCTGATCCAGACGCTTTGGAGAGACGGATCGCTGAAGAATGGGCTCCTGCTTCACGCAATATGACATTTGAGGTAATAATCTCAAAGTCATTATGATTTTTCCATTTATGAACAATATATAATAAGGATACCTTTTTCTCTTTTTTTTTTTTGGGCGAACTGTTCACGTTTTTTCCTAAACTTGTGGGCATCGGAAAAGCACTTAGGGTGATGCTTACTGTATCTTGATATCTGCTACTTGATTCAAAAGGACAAAAGCCTGTCATTGTGAAACTTATTTGACCATCTGGTTTAGCTTTGGACATTAATAACGAGCATTTAAATTAGAGCTTTGGACAATAGTTTACTACGGCCTTTAGATGTCCCATTCCTTGATTTTTCAAATGAATGGTATTGTCTGCCATATTGACATTTATGAATCTTGAAACTTTTGATATTTTTTCCTGTTGCTCTAGCCTCTGAGTATATTATTAGCTTCGGCAGTTCAAACAGAAGCATTCCTCTCTTGATAAGTCTGGGAAGCCACTCATTACAGCAACCGATAGTTCAAACCCCTGGTGGAACCTGTTAGAAGAAGCTGTCAAAAAAGCTAATGGAAAACTCGGTAAGCCAGAGATCTTTCCTGCTTCCACAGATGCTCGCTACTTCCGGGATCTGGGCTTGCCAGCAATTGGATTTTCTCCAATGGCCAATACTCCTATTCTTCTCCATGATCACAACGAGGTGAGTGTGTAATTCAATGCCATTGGAACGTTTTCTTTGCATATGCACGTGTACAGTGGTGGAGCCAAGAAACATTTTTTCAGAAGAGAGTAGTAGTACTAAAAAAGATTAGCGATAATTTAACTATTAAATAGGGATATAATTGTATATTTCAATTATTGAGCGTGGGCACAGTTATAATTTTTCTTATAAAATTGGGATATAATCAAAATTTCAGAAAAGTAGTGGTAAAAAGTAAATTTCAAAAGGTTGCCCCCACTCAATAAGATGGCTCCGCCACTGCATGTATAATTGCAAATGCTCAGCTTTATAAGTTTGGTCTCTTTGTTTTTGATCCATCAAGATTTTGGTTAAAAGATCTTTTCATTATTCCCTGTTTCATCCTGATTTCGCTTTTCATTATTAAAACTGAAACTTAAGAATGTCTATATAATAGTAAACTTGACCAGATCTTTCCACATGGTTGCAGTTCCTGAACAAAGATGAATATTTGAAAGGAATCGAAGTCTATGAATCTATAATTAAAGCTTACGCATCTTATATTCAGCATGCAAGAAGGGATGGTTCTAAAGATGAGTTGTAAAGAGAGCAAATTTGATCAACCTCGGGTTTAAAAAGAACACGCCTGATTTTAGTTTCCTCCTCTTTGTAATATTAGACATGTCCCGGTAATTTATCAGTACGGTAGGAAGCAGTTGGTTGATCTCCTTCAAATGTGGGAAGGGCGGACTTATTATTAGCACTAATCACATCCAAAACTTTTGGTTTAAGTTCATTTTTTGGTGACTTGGATGTACTGTTGCTCGTGGGGCTTTTTTTTTTTGGGGTAGAAAAGCTTTCATTGAATCCAGAAAAAGAAGACAAAGCAAAAAAACAAACAAAAACAATTGAAATTGTAAATAACAGGTTTTTAAAATTAAATTAAGTAAATAGCATATTTTAAAAACTATTTGAACTAAATAGTAGTTTACCATGTAAATGTTTCATTTACGACTGGATTTACGTGGTAAAAAATCCATATTTACGTGGAAAAAAAATCTTGGGTTATTTATCTCTGCATTCAAAATAAAAGAAAAAATAATTAATATGAACCATTGGATTTTTGGTTGAAGTACAAAATTTGTTCAACCTTATTCTCATTTCTTGTATAGCTATTAGATAATATTGAAGTGTGAGGTGTGATAGAAATATTCTATAAGCTATGTGGAGAAGTCTTGAACATTGCATTTAGAGAAAAAAAAAAAAAAAAAGTTGATTTATGTGAACCATTGGCTTAAAGGTTGAAGTACAAAACTCATCAAATCTCATTCTCCTTTTTATAATAGATTATCCCTTCTGTAATAGATTACAGATTATAGATTGATATGAACACTCATCTATATATATATATATATATCCTTTTAAAACATATTTATAATCTTAATTTGACATTATGAGAAATAAAGATAATGCATTTAATTATAATTCACATGAAAATTGTCTATCATTATATTTATGGGTAAACATCAAAAGTATCAAACCCTATGATTATAAATACGAATTATTCATAGGGTTTTATACTTTTGATGTTTACCCATAAATATGATGATAGACAATTTTCATGTGAATTATAATTAAATGCATTATCTTTATTTCTCATAATGTCAAATTAAGATTATAAATATGTTTTAAAAGGATATATATATATATATATATGTAACACGTATATTTTCTCATTTCTGTTTCCAACACAAACCTAAAGCATCTACAGCAAAATATTTCTAGTTCTAAAACCCATCAGTGTTATTTCATCTAGTTCATTTATCACCAAAGGTAACTCCAAGTCTAAAAGTTTATGAAGTTGAATAATAAATCACAATCAATTACAACTAATAATATCAGATAATAAGTCACATGACATAAACAAATCTAGACGCTTAAAATCTATACAAACAAAAATAAAACATAAAAATGCAAAGAATAGTGCTTAGTAAAATGCAACAATTTCACATATGCTCGAATAGAAATTAACCATAACTTGTCAAGTTATGGTTCATAACCAGATAAATTATGGACAAACTTGTCAAGTTATAGATCATAGCCAGACAAGTTATGGACAAAAACCACGAATAACTTGTCAAGTTATGGTTCATAACCAGACAAGTTATGAATGAAAACAGTAATTTGGCCTATTTATTAACTTATGTAAACTATTGGCCTATTAATTTTAATTCATCTCAACTCTTAGCTTATTTTCCTCCTTCTCCCTAAACAAATCTAGACGCTTAAAATCTATACAAACAAAAATAAAACATAAAAATGCAAAGAATAGTGCTTAGTAAAATGCAACAATTTCACATATGCTCGAAAGGATTAACCCTACATATAATTGGATTTTTTTATCGTTTCTTTCGAATCTTAGTGCAAGCACCAAAATATCCTAAAAGTTTTTCAAAAATACATTGTTTCTAGAGTTAAAAATTGAAATACAAAAAACATTCAAATAGTTGAGATATTACAAATTAGGAACATGTAATAAGGGATATCTCTGTCATTTTGATAAAATACGTGTTAGTGTTAATTACCCTTAATGATGTGTAAGGAAGAATTTTATGGATTTTAGGAGTAATCCTTAAGTATCCATCTCTTTAATCCTCCAAGTCCAAGTCGGAGGCACACTAGGCGTGCCATTTAAAAAGACAAACAAATACATAAAGGTGTTGTGAGCCGAGTTAAACTTTTTGTTTTTCCCTTGCTACGTGTAAAACATGTTTTGTTCCACAATCATTCAAACTCTATCACCTTTGCCTTGTCATTAATAACAAAAATATAATTACTACTTCTTTTTGAAGGGGATTGTATTCAACAAAAAAAGATATAAACACTAATGTGAATGACCCTAATTACCCTTAATGATGTGTAAGGAAGAATTTTATGGATTTTAGGAGTAATCCTTAAGTATCCATCTCTTTAATCCTCCAAGGCCAAGTCGGAGGCACACTAGGCGTGCCATTTAAAAAGACAAACAAATACAAAAAGGTGTTGTAAGCCGAGTTAAACTTTTTTTTTTCCCCTTGCTACGTGTAAAACATGTTTTGTTCCACAATCATTCAAACTCTATCACCTTTGCCTTGTCATGAATAACAAAAATATAATTACTACTTTTTTAAGGGGATTGTATTCAACAAAAAAAGATATAAACACTAATGTGAATGACCTCATAGTACATGAGACAAAATACTTAATTAAGACCGGATTCATTAATAAATTATGTTGAAGCTTAAAAATAAAGACGTACATCGAGACCCAATAATTAAAAAGTTTCTCAACTCACTATTCATCGAGCACGCATAAAGTTCGTTTTTACAAAACCTCTACAATCAATGGAGTCTTCCGATTGATTGAGAGCAAGTAACACATAGCATTGAGACCACTAGAAACTTCTCATAAACACAAATCTAACAAAACCAAAAAAAATTGTCATATAACAAACCACAAGTACACACAAGATGGGGGAGCGCTTTTATTATTACGTACTCAAAATGAAAAGAAAACAACAAAACAAAAAACTAGAAAGCGGAAAAACCATTACTGCTATTTGATACAACCATCTACCATAATATTACCATTAGTGTTTTTTTTAGAAAACTCTCTGATATTATTATATTATAGAATGTGAATCTCAAAGTTGAAACCTAATTTCCGCCAAAGTCTTCTTGTCCAAGTACACAGACTTTAACCACTATAGAATATTATTCAGACAAAACCCACTTAAAGACTCCAGTATTGGTTAAATACTTTATCATAAATTAGTCCAAACAAAAGCTAGTCCTCTTATCCACATTTCCACATTTCAATTCAATATTTAACAAGTGCTAAAAGACCTTCTCCAATTACCTAATCCCTATTACTGGTCTAAAGCTTCTTGGATCTCAACTTGTTATTTTATATTAATTAATAACAAGCTTTATTTATCACACTTTTGTAACCTTCTTTTGCAGAATAGTCAGTACATAATTGTGGGGATTCTTGTGTGCTTTTGTGCTTAATCTTTTCTGTCAAAAAAAAAAAAAAAAAAAAAACACCCCCAAAAAGATGCACATTTTTTTATTCAATGATTCTTAAACATCTGATAAAGTTCTTAGCTTTTTCCTAAGGGTTTCTTTTCTTCTCATATGTGTCTGACATATTTCCGCTTGATTAAGTATATATATATATATATATATATATATATATAGCCCCTTTGATCCCATGCGCTTTGCTTCTTTAATCAAACCTCCAAAAATTTCAATAATATAAACTTCCCAAGAGTTGACTACAATATTATATCCAAATGAATAAACTCTCTCTCTCTCTCTCTCGATAATTACAAGATCTTTATAATACTTTTGTGTTGGAAATTTAGGTAGAGCATTAATCAATATTATTCTTGTGAATGTTGTAATATATTTTTGTGGTCTTGTTCACCTTCCTTTCTTAATTCTCGCTTAGACCTATAGAAGAATGATTAGAGTCATTAGAGATACTCTCCCTCATTAATTAATTTGTTGCGTTCAGAGAAATAAACCCAATACTAAACTTTATATATATATATATATACCAAAAATGGGTCTGCTTAATTAATCATACATTTTTTTCAATGTAATACCTATCTTAGTTAGAGTAGGAAATGATTGACCTAAGCTAAAACCTTCATATTATCATATACAAGTCAATTAACATTGAATATTTACAAGATGCTTAATAATTTACGACAATATATATTCATAGGCTCCCCTAGAAATTATGGCATCAATACCTAGTTCTAACAAATTGAGAGTCACAATAGGTCTCAAGACCTTGTTAACTATGCCCTTGAAAGTCCAAAAGTGTGCCTTTCACTTGAATAAAGAAACCATATACATTTTATAATAAGTTTTCATATATGCTTATAACTTGTAACTGCATTAATTCTTAAGGGTGGAAAGTGTATTCCTATTCCCTATATAAACTATTTTCCTTCTCTTTCATTAATATAGTGTTGTTTTACCATATTTTCTGTAATTTAAACTTTTTTTTTTGGGAACAAAGAAAACTGTTTTTTTCTCTTTTTTTTTAGTACTCTAGTTTACTTGCTCTAATCTTTAGACCTGATAGACATTCTTTTATTCTTTAATGGCAAACATGCACGCACGTCTCTGAATTCCTAGTTCGGAGAAAATGTCATAAATTAATACCAAAGGATAAAAAAGAGGAAAGCCAAAAAAAAAAAAGAAAAGAAAAAGAGGTCTTAATAAACAAGGAGAGACAGCAATATTAATTTAAAGGAAGGAAAAATTAGTTGATGTATATATACATATACAAATTATTGGATTTGATATCTAGATACCCAAATCTAATTCCACATATTTGCCAACTCAAAGTTGGCGTAGAATTATTTTTGGGCTGATTGATTGATTTGAAGATAGGAATTATGATTTCGATAGGTATTGGAAAAAGAAATAAAGTTCAGCATGCTTTATATCCATCACAAAAAGAAAAAGGAAGAGGATATCATGGTTTTAGATAATCCAAGAAACATGTAAATTTACCATATAAATGTTTAGTTGAAATTTTTATATAAATAAAGTACTATAAATTAATTCATGCGTTCGAACATTTATATGAAAAACGTTTGCATTGGTTTTTCGTTGTTCCTTTATTCGTAGTAGAAAGCTAAATTTACAAGTCTAATTACAGTAATTATACCAATGTCGCAGACGAGGAATATGGTAATTAACTAACTTGTAATAACAAAAAAAAAAAAAAAAAATAGCAGACAAACAGGTCGTGCCTTTTAATTAGACACATTAATTATGCTATTTGCCATGTTTGGCATGGTCCCTTATTTGTTTGTGTCGTGTCGT